ACAAAATAATTAGAAATGCAGAGATATACGAGGCTCTACAGTCACCTAAATCTCTCTTTTAGTAGCAAAAACAAAAGAAACACGTGGTGCTACATGAGTTATGATTTCTGTACAGTTTGACCTCCATATGAGCTAAAACACGTGGATCAGCTCGTACAGACCGCGAGATTGATCACTAACAGGTCATGCTAAACTCAAAGCATGTGTCTATACAATTCACTTTTAATTTGGAGATGAAGTGAGTCCGCAGGTACAGATGACACCAGACACACACATTTAGAAGAACTTTTTCTGCTGACAACTTCTTAAATGTCATTTATAGGCACTATTGATTATGTCATTTTTAAATGAATGAAGGCTTCACTGGATTTCTTTTAAAGCCTTTTGCCCAGAAAACATGATAAAGCTTTATATTCATATCTGGGAAATCTAAAGGTCATTAATAGATCTCGATCTCCATCATATCATCATTTTAATCAAATGCATCAATTGCCATCTCAGTTGTATTATATCTTGTATAAAATTCAATAAAGTCTAACAAAAAGATACTGGTGATTTAATTAAAACCTTTTATTTCATTCACACAATTATAAGGCAAGATCTTCCAAATTCAAATAATGGATAGAGGCAATTTTATATAACATTTCTGGTTTTATTTCGTAATTTAATTTGCTTAAATGTATTCAATACATTAAATGTTGTATATTTATTAAATAATATTTATTTTTTAATTTAATACATCTTGTTCCTAGAGCTAGTATTATTTTAAAACAAGTGTAAAGTGTTTGGGAAAGAGAAACTGGTGCAAAGACACCAAAAAAAGGTCAGAAGTTGCCCTGAACCCAACAAGTAACTTTAATATATTTTTGGTTTGCTTTGTTTAAACTTTCTTGAGATGTTTCAAGAAACTTCTTTTAACCTTCTTAAAAGTATTTTTTTTTTCACCAAGCTAATATAATTACTTTAGCTCTCAATTTGAGTATGTTTGATTGCATAAAAAGTAGGGCTGTCAAACGATTAATTGCATCCAAAATAAAAGTTTGTTTTTACATAATATATGTGTGTGTAGGCTACTGTGTATAGTTATTTTTAATACATAAATACCCACACATACATGTGTATTTAAGAAATATGTGCATCTATATACTGTATATAGACTGAATGTAGCCTATAATGTATTTATATAAATATAAACATTTTATATATAAATAACATATTTTTCTTAAATATATACATGTGTGCATTTTAAAAAAAATAATTAAACACAGTACACACACATATATTATGTAAACACAAACTTTTATTTTTGATGCGATTAATCGTTTGACAGCCCTAATAAAACATAAGAGACTGGATACTTTTGAAAATGCCATTTTTGTTTCAAAACACTAGCATTTTCAAGGGTTTTCCAAAAGTTGCTTATCCACACTGAAATGCTTAATTCACCTTAATGCGTAAAACGTATAATAAAAACTCGCGAAACGATACAGAGATAATCCAGTGCTCATGCTATTCCTCTGGCACGACAATTTTATTAGCAAAAAATCCCACCACTAGTATGGTCTAAAACGAAGTTGTCATCCTTTTTTACCACAGGACAGCAAATTCGAGTACATTTTCCATCATCTTTGCAGGAATGCAATATGAAAACTTAGCAACATAGCAGGCACAACAATGCCGGTATAACCATAGATATCTATGTGTTCAATATGCATCACAACACGTGTCATCTTTTTCAAATACCTCAGTTTCAGTCCACAACGCGAAAATGGTGTTTTTAACTTTGGAGAGCGGTTTAAAAAAGCTCTGTCTTCTTTGACAAAAACACCGTCTCAGTGTGGACGCAAGGCCAAACCGGAGAGAAAAAGATGCGTTTTCAAATAAAAGCGTATTAGTGTAGACAAGGCCTATACGAGCTGGTGGTCAGACTCATTAATGAAGGTTTTAACAAGAACCAGGTGAAGATCTTTTCCTGAATATCCCACTGTGGCGTTCAGGTATTTGCATGTTAGAAACATGGTGTAAAGTATTCGCCTGACCCAGACTGGAAGAGGCTGATCACTGTTTAAAGCTCCATTAATTCTCTCCATTAAATGGTGTAAAGTATCTCAGCGTGATTAGAGTCATTAACATTGTTTCCACTTCCCCTTTTCTGTCCACTGTGGAAATCTTGGTTATGAGTCCTTGAGTCTGACCACATGTTTTAATTGTTTCGTGTGTGAAATAATATCACCCAAACATTTGCTCTCCCATAAAGTGGTTCCAGACAATGACTTTCTTTCTTCTGTGAAACACAGGATATCTGAAAAGAAAGACATACATGTTCATAACAACATGAGGGCTAGAATTTTCTTTTTTATGGATGAACTATCCCTTTAAAACATTTGTGAACATGTAAAACCGTCAGATTTGCTCTTTTTCCTCTATATTTTAGAAAAAGCAACTGCTAAATGCATAAATGGAAGTATTCTGAACTTAAACCTGCTGTACATGTTTTTTGGACATAACTAGATTTGTACATTATTTGCAGTAAATGTGTTAAAGTAATGTGGGTTGTGATGTTGCTATGCAGTTGCTAGGCTTTTCTGGTTATTTAGTTGGCCATTGTCAAATAGGGATTTGAGTGGTAACTTGGGACAAATCCACATCGAAGTATAATATTGCTGATTATGAGCAGCGGTAAGAGAGAAATATTCTGCATCACTAATGATTGTTTTCAAACTATTTTACAAAAGAAAATTTATTTTATTAAATATCGTTGTCGAAAAACTTAAACTTGAAAGATGAAAAACTTGACAAATAACTGAAAAAAGTTTTATTTGAAGTACTAATATGACTAAAACAAAACTGAAATATCAATAAAGCTAAATAGAAATATATAAAAAACTAATATATGACAAAAGCACATAAAATGAATAAAACTAACATTAAAATGAAAACTGAAAATAAAAGCTAATAATAATACAATAAGGTTTTATTTTTTAACATTAACTACATTATATAACATGAACTTACAATGAACAATACTTCTACAGCATTTATTATTTGTTCATCTTTATTTATCTACATTTACTAAAATATATTAGGTTTAAAATGTGTGCAATATGAACTAACATGAATATGAACATTTATATTAAATAACAACAAAAATGGTTAATAAATGCTGTAAAAAATATATTGCTTATTATTAGTTTATGTTAGTTAATTCATTAACTAATGTCAACAAATTAAACCTTATTGTAAAGGGGTACCTTAAAGCTTTTTCAAAATATTAATAAATACTATACTATAAATGCTAAAATAATACTGGTTGTAGTTATAGAGGTGATTTTCATTGTGTAGTAGAAGAAAAGCACGTGCCGTGGATGCTCTCTGTTTTCCTCTTTCAGGACTGAATAATCTTCTGTCTCCCTCAGTGAATGTTCACATTGTGTGTGTCTTTGATTGCTAAAGCAGAGTCTCGCTGACAGTCTCCAGGGGTTTTCTTTCATTGTTTCATTGAGTAATGCTGACTACAATCAGGCAAAACTCAGGCCCCGTCCACACTACTGCGTTTTCGTTTAAAAACGGAGACCTTTTGCTACGTTTGCACCTCCCGTCCAGACTAAAACGGAAAAAACGAAGACCTAAAACGGAGAAGTTTAGAAACGCCGCAGCTCCGTTTTGCGTTTTGAATCTCCGGAGGGCGTTTTATGCCTGGTTCAGATTACACGATTTTAGCCCGATTTTGGCGCGATCCGTTTGACGTAGGGTGTCGTGGGGATTCGCAAACGACAACGGGCGTCGGGACGCAAGATTCGATCGGATCATCTCGTATAGTGTGTCATAGTGGGCGACAACCTACGTCGCGTCTGCGATGCTTCACGACATCACGACAAAAAGACTAGCATGTTTAATTTTTTTTAACGGTCGTCCACAATGGGTTCCGTCACATGTATGAGGTTGACCAATAGGAGCACAGAAGCTTTTCCGTACACAACTTTCAAAAATGGCGAAACGAAAGAGACGATTGTGCTACTAGGTGGAGTTATGACATGGAGGAAAGGTTCAGGAGCTGTGGCAACAGTAACAGAAAACAATATTTTACCTCGAGTTCTCTTTGGAGGATTGACAGCCCATACTGTCCTCTTCGAGCAATCCAGGAACGTGTCCATTGACGGGTTTTCTTTCTTTTTTTACGTTTTTTTTAGGGCTGTCAAACGATTAATCACGATTAATCGCATCCAAAATAAAAGTTTGTGTTTACATAATATATGTGTGTGTACTGTGTATAATTATTTTGTATATAAATGCACACATGTATATATTTAAGAAAAATATGTTATTTATATATAAAATGTTTATATTTATATAAAATATACATTATATATAGGCTACATTCAGTCTATATACAGTATATACATGCAAATATTTCTTAAATACACATGCATGTGTGGGTATTTATGTATTAAAAATAATTATACACAGTACACACACATATATTATGTAAACACAAACTTTTATTTTGGATGCGATTAATCGCGATTAATCGTTTGACAGCCCTAGTTTTTTTACGCAACGGGTAGTCTGACATGTTTCTTGTCCACAACACGACAAGATTTTAGGAGTCAAAATCGCGTAATCTGACACAGTGACTATCGTAACAGACAAAAAAAATCGTGTAATCTGAACCAGGCATCAGTGAAGACGGGACAAAACGGAGGACTTTAGAAACGATGACGCAGAGGCTCACGCTCGGCTCCTCCCTGATTCGTCAGCCACCCATCACGTGTCAATCCGTTTCCTGTTTACACCGGCACGCGCATGCCCAGTGTTGATGAATGGTCATGTGATCTGCGTTTTCAGGCGTTTTAATGTGGACGGAGATCAATTCTAATACGCAGATAAAACGTTGGTGTGGACGGAGATCGTATTCGTTTTAATTCTCCATTTTTAAACTAAAACGCAGTAGTGTGGACGGGGCCTCATCCTTCTTCCCTCTTTCTCTCCTTCTCCTCCAGGTCCGTCTGAGGTGCCGTTCTTGGTGAGGTATAATCGACGGCCCACGTGCCCTGATGCCAGCGTGGGGGTCCACATTCCCACCCCCCCGCCCTCACGCCACAGGAAGAGCCACAGCCTCGGCAACGCGTGCGCTTCTCTCTTCTTATGTATACACACACTCAGGCCCGGTTTACACCTGGTATTAAGATGCGTTTTGGTCGATCGGATCACAAGTAGACGAGGGAGACACATTCCTGTTTACACCTGGTGTTTTAATCCGTGTCTTCTGTCCACTTTCAAACACTTCTGTCCTGATTTCTTCGAGGGGAGGGTCTATGAGCGGGCTTTTTCAGATCTCTAGATCTAATGGACGAAATAAGCTCTGCAATTAACATGTGAACACAACCGGAGATGAGGGAAAACATACAGAGAACATCAGGTTTAGTTTCTGCTCTGACAGCCACAAGACCAGCCGAACGCTGTGATTGTGTGTTAGACATCAGGAATGGGGAGAGAACATTGTGCTTGATACGTTTTTCATCTTCAAACCCAACTTGGGTCTTCAGCCGACAGTTTAAATCCCGTCTGGCTAGAGCTCTTCCCATAATGTTACTCATTAGTTCAGTAGACGGTCTTTTGTGTCTGTTTGAACACACTCGACCACATGAGTGTTCACACTACGAAACCAATCCGGTTGAATGTGTTTTCGACAACCTCTGGAAGAGGCCGAAAGTGGACAAGCTCAAAACGCTTTAGACCCCTTTCACACATCTTAATACCAGGTGTAAACAGGGCCTTTTATACTGTTTAGATTTGCATGAAATTAATAATTCTATTCGGCAAGAATGCATTACATTGATCAAAAGTGACTCTAAAGACATTTATAATGTTACAAAAATTCTATTTCTAATATATGCTGTTCTTTTGAACTTTCTATTCATCAAATAATCCTGAAAAAAATGGGTTTTCCCAAAAATATGAAGCTGCACAACTGTTTTTAACATCAGTGATATTAATAAAGAAGAAAAAATAAATGTTTCCTGAGCAGCAATTCAGCATATTAGAATGATTTCTGAAGGATCATGTGATCCTTAATATATTTAAAATGTCTTAGTAAACAGTTTTTTTTTTTGTAATAATATTTCACTGTTTTCTCTGTGAATACTGATCAAATAAATGCAGCCTTGGTGAACAGAAGAGACTTTAAAAACATTGACTTCAAACATGCAGCACTTTTTGCTTTTAGTCTGTCAACTTTTCCTCACACTGGAAACTTATGCCTGATCAAGACAGTGTTGATGCTCCTCATGATGGTTTTCTGATGGTTTTCTCTCTCTCTCTCTCTCTCTCTCTCTCTCTCTCTCTCTCTCTCTCTCTCTCTCTCTCTCTCTCTCTCTCTCTCTCTCTCTCTCTCTCTCTCTCTCTCTCTCTCTCTCTCTCTCTCTCTCTCTCTCTCTCTCTCTCTCTCTCTCTCTCTCTCTCTCTCTCTCTCTCTCTCTCTCTCTCTCTCTCTCTCTCTCAGTATGATGTGGCATTTCGGTGTGGCGGAGAGTAAAAGTGTGACGTTCCCCACAGAGAAAGCCCGTCACCTGCTGGACGACAGCTTCTTAGAGTCTCAGAGTCCGACCCGGGTCAATCTGCACAGCTCATCCGTGTCCAACGGCATCTCTATAGGTATCACAACAACCTGATGCTTTTTACACAAGCACTGCATGTCCCGGGTTTGGTTCATCTTAAGCATTTGTGGCATAATGTTGATTATGGCAGAAAAATCATTTTTAATTATCCCTCCATTTCAAATAAATAAATTCATAAATACATAAAATGTGGTTAAACTAATGCATTTGGAAGTTCACAGGCCTAGCGTGAATGTGAAACTTTTTGTTACATTTTATCTTAATGTGTCTGTGTTACAGTGTAATTATACATTTAATTACTGAGTAATAACCATTAACTACATGCACTTACTATAGGGTTAGGAATATGGGTTGTGTGCATGTAATTTTGCATAATTTATAGTTATTACGGTTGCACTTTATTTTTCAGTACGTGCACTTATTTTTACTTGCAGTGTTACCTAAGAAAGTACTGGTTAATATAAGGTAACAACATAGGTTAGGTTAGGTTTAGGGTTCAGGGTTAGTACTGGTTATTACCAAGTTGAGGAACAGGACTGTAAAATAAAGCGTTACCAATCTTATTATTATTGTTAAAGCACTTGCATGAATTATTCTGTAAAACTCTCTTTATAATTTGATCTTTAAAGTATCTCAATATTTCAATCAATATACATTTTTACTTCACTTTACTCGGTGGATGAACTTCTGGTTGTGTTTCTGATGTCATTCCTGAGGGCAGATTTCAGGTGTAATTGCTTGTATTGTGCAAAAGGTTCTGTATGGCAACAAGGTTGAAAGACTAAGGGTGAATCCCAATTATCTGTCTTACCTCTCACCCTTAGTTTTGCACGTTCACGTGAGAGTAAGGGCTATCCCATGTCTCGTTTTGATCGAGGGCTACCCCATGGTTTCAAGTAAGCTCGCGAAAAAGCTTGGTTTTAAGGGGTATCTACCACTTCCCCTAGCCCTACCCCTCGATCAAAACGAGAATTGGGATAGCCCTTACTCTCACATGAACGTGCAAAACTAACTGTACGTTCACACCGCCGCCGACTTGAGCTTCCAAAGCGGCCGGAAGTCATTCATTTTCAATGGAAGCTGGCTTCTCTCAGCTGCAAGGAGCGTCAAATCCACCGGCGTCGCGTTTTGGGCATTTTGAGCGTCAATCAGAAAGTTGAAAGAAGCTCAACTTTATGGTAATAAGCTGTGACGCGGTTCAGCGGCAAGCAGCGACAAAACGCCAGCAACCAATCGGAATATAGACGTCCTTCGCGCTGGCTGATTCCGGAGGAACATACGATGTAAATTTTCGTTCCTACCAAAACATTAGTTCCGAGAAAATGGAAGAGAAGCTAATAATCGCCGTTGCTGGGATTCCTACAGGTTTCCTATCATTTATGACATGACAGTGGTTTTCTTATAGGGACCACATGAGCGCGACTTTTATTTGAAAAATTTACGATCGCTCGATTTAAAGCGGGAATGCAATTCATTTGCTCACGGTGACACCGATTTGACCGCTAATAATAATAATAGCTAACTATTCTTTTCTCTTTATTTCTTGTTTTTTCTGTTTATTACATTTCATGTTGTGACACTTCTATTCTCCCTGCAACGTCAGAGCGTTCAAAGCGTCAACAAGCTTCCCCGTACTTTTTGACAAGCGTCCTTGACAGGGTGGCCAGAGCTTCTTTGACGCTCAAGTCGGCGGCGGTGTGAACGTACAGTTAGGGGAAGAGGTAAGACAGAGAATTAGGATTCACCCTAAATATAACTTTACACAGAGAAGATCAGTGACTCCACCACACAGATCACACACAGTAAAGTCTTGTGTTTTTAAGGCCTGACCCCATGTACTTCCATTGTTACGGTCATTTTTTTCATCCTACATGCTGATTGGTCAATAAAGTGAACATCACTGTAGAGACCAACTATTAACCTTAGTTATAGTTAGGGTATCAACATTATTTCACAACTTTTGCTTTTTTAACCTAGAACGTTATGCTGAACTGCTTTTTGTACTTTATTGCTTCATTATTAGTGTCAGAGATGAAGGAATGTGTGATTTGTGCTCAAAAGGAAACGGTTGAGGTGTGTGTGTGTGTGTTTCTGTTTATCAGGCAGCAGTCAGAGTTCAGTCTGCGGTGATCTTTCCCCGGGACTCGAGAGGTGAGACATGTCATGTAGTTGTGTCCAAATATCATCTGCGCACATTGCAGATTTATGATGGGTTACTCAGATCATTCTAGAGTAAAACTGAACTGATTATGAAAAAGAAAAGTTATTTTCTGGCCTAGAAGTCTGTGATTACTAATAACAGGGAATCTAACTGGTATCCTTACAATAAGGTCACATTAGTTTACATTAGTTAATGCATTAATTAATAATGAGCAATACATTTTTCACAGTGTTTATTAACCTTATTGTAAAGTGTTGCCATGCAACCATCATATGACCAACTGCCATGTATCTTTAATACTGTAGGTTTAAAATGAGAGTTCTAAAAAGAATGGCTTTTATTTCCCTTTTCATTCAAATTTCAACAGTATTTTTTTTGTTTGTTTATTTGTCGTTTCCCGTTATAAATGTTTAACATCCATTTATGTCCATTCCACAGGAAAACGCCTAGATATACATACAGCAAAACACAATAACACAACTAAAACTGAGACAAAACTGGTCTCAGAACAGTTTAAGGTTTAAAGGGATTGTTCACCTGACAATGAAAAGTAATTTATGCACCCAGAGCTTATAACCTCTTTTCTTCTGTGAAACACAAAAGGAAATGTTTAGCAGATGTTCACGCAGCTCTTTTCCATGCAATAGCAGACCGCTGTGAAACACCATGATAGCACTTCAATATCTGCACTAGTCTTAAGTTTGTGCAGGAACATATGAGTACAGAAGACTCAATGTATAAACTGCACAAGGCGAATGAACTGTGAAATTATGCTTTTTGGAAGTTGAAAGTAATCACTGTACTGTATATTTTAATTGCATGGAAAAGAGAAAGTGAGTCAATGATGAGAACATCTAATTGATGGGTGTATCTAGAAATCAAAAGGTCAAAAGAAATCAAAATTCTTTTAACATTTGCACAAATTCAATAATTGTATTCAGTTTTCATTAGTCAGTGAGACAGTGTATACACTTAAAAAAAAATTATACCTTCATTTAAGATTTATGCATTTGAATTGCATATAAAATTCCCATCCATTTGAATTTCACAATTTGAACTTATAAACTTAATGTGATGCATATTTGTCAGTCATACATAAATGAAACGGGTAAGATTTCTGTGATTGGACTAATAAACTGAATGTGTTTAAATACACAACTAGGTTTATGTATCTATCATCAATAAATCCAAAATGTTTTATACATTTTATTCTATTAAGTCCAATAGCTGATACGAAACTACGCCAAATCTTATAAACTAGTGCAGAAATCTTTACCCTTTTCTTTTATGTATGATTGACAAATATGCATCGCATTAAGTTTACTCGTTTGATTATGTTAAAATTGTGTAGTTCAAATGGAGGGAATTTTACATGCGATTCGAATCCATAAATCTAGGCCTAAATATTTGTTTTGAGTGCAGTATCGGCTCAAATTGCACTGACGTTAAACTCATTGTGCCGAATGTGCAAACAGGGGCCGCATGTACTCGACTCTGGGCCCTAACTGGAGGGTCCCTCATCGCAACTCCCCCAGAGGCCGCAGCCATGCCCACAGGTACCACCTCCACTGGGTCAAAGGTCACCACCTCCATTCCTCTGGGGCGTCGGGTTCACCTGTCTCGGCATGCAGCGTCTCTTCTTTAACATCCCAGTTTTCCCTCTCTTTCGGGTTTAGACCAAAGACTGTCATGTCTGTCATTCTCTTTTCCCAGATGTCAGGATGTTTATAGACCAGAATTACTGTATTTATAGAAGAGAAAAGCTCTGTTGCGAAACCTAATGAGCGTCTTACGGTCCTCGGTCCTCTCGCTCTCCCTATAGAGACTTCCTTCTGATGCAGCATCCTACCTGGAGCGACACTGAGCATGTGCAGCATTCACATACAGCTTCTCACATTTACTTTTACATTCAGTCATCTAGCACAGTGGTTCTCAAACCTGTCCTAGAGGATTTATTATTATTTTATTTTATTTACCTTTATTTTACCAGGAAATAGTCCCACTGAGATTCAGAATCTCTTTTTCAAGGGAGTCCTGGCCAAGACAGCAAAATAATAGTTCCATATTAAAAAGTACATATACAAACATTAACAAAAACAAAACAAACAAGAAAAAAAAAGTACATTTTGTCAATTTAACATACTCTCAACATAATCACCAGCCGCTCTCAGTAACAGCACATGTGCATCTAGTACTCAAATAGTCCTTTATCCTCATTTTAAATTGTGTCATTGTCGGTAAACAGTCAAATTTTAGCTTTAATTTGTGCAATTTATACCAGGAAAACGGTGCAAAAACTTTAAAGGCACTTTCACCGAAGACAGTTCGCGTTCGTGGGATTTCATACATGATTTGCCCATATGATCTAAGATTACATTTCCTGGTAGTGACTTTAATAGTCAAAAGAGAGCATAAGTAAGGAGGCAGTTTACAAAGTATGGCCTTAAATCCCCAACACTGCACGTTTTCTTTGTCTCCCTAATCAAACACACCTGATTCAACTCATCAGCTCATAATCACATGGGTTAACCATTGATCTAGCTACAGCTTCTCACATTTACTCACATTCAGTCATCTAGCGCAGGGGAGGCAAGGCATGCTGGGGCGTACAAATCTAAAAATAAATCAATAATAAAATACAAGATTGAACTAAATAAATAAATGTATTAAAATAAATAAACAATAATAATTAAGTTAAAATAAACAATTAATTAAATAAACCAAAAGATTAAATAATATTGATTCATTAATAGATTATAAATACATTAAAAATAAATTGTAAGAATAAATACATGATAAAAAAGATTACAATAAATAAACTGACTAAAACAAATAAACTATAACAATTACGTTTAAATAAATAAATAATTTATAAAAACATGAATTAACTAACTAAATAAATAAATAAACTGGGGAAATAAATATACAATAACAATTAGGTTAAAATAAGTAATTAATAAAAATAAACAAAACGATTAAATTGAATTAATTGCAATAATTAATAAAAATATTTAAAATTAAAATTTGTTTGAATAAATAAGTAATCTTACAGTACTATAGTGAGTAGGAAAATGCATAATAATAATGTAATAGAAACTAAATATTTTCTGAATTCTAATATTTTACACATTTATAATATTCATTTTACACAATATAAATTGGGTCTTTATAAATGAAAGTATATAGTTGCTTTTTAAATTTTAGGACGGGGTCCCTCACACAAGGATGATCATATCTGGCCATCAAAAAGATTGAAAACCTCAGATTTATCAGATACTTGTATCCAATGCAACGGCACGTTTAAGTGCTTTGATTGTGGTTTATTTGAAGTTTCTAGAAGCAATGCAACTGTGATACAAACACACAGGAGACTCAATCTCCCAGAGTGCAACAGTGACTGTCCAATGATGGTATAGTATAAAATGACTGATTTCTAGTGATTCATAATCTATAAAAACAATCTATTTAAGCTCATTGTAAAATATATCCAGATATAGTAGTGGCAAAAAGTCATGTCCTGAGGAGATATTTGTTTTTATGGCCCTAGAAGAGGAAAAATATTTCATAAATATTCCAAATATGAGGGAAGAACAAAACACTTGGTTAATTATTTGGCAAACTACGACTACAGGTTTTATTTTACTATTACGCAAAAAATGCATATAAAAACTAAAACACTCATGGGAAAAAGCATGCATTGACTACAACATAATCAGTTATTAATAATCTGTTGGTTCTCACTTGTTTTTGCATGTGTTCATAATTTCTTTGTATGACAGCTTGACCAAAAATTATGTTGCACAAATGATGTTTCATTACGTCATCAAAAATAAAACAATTGACTCCCGTTGATTACGCAATATGCCTTTTACATTATAATAATAATAATATAATAATATTTAAATAAAGGGTCAAGATTTTCAATTTCCTAAGCCGGACATCACCTTTGGCCGCTACTGTATATGCAAATATATCAGTCGTTTGAGAGAGTAAAGAAATGGGTAGTGTAGGTCTTCACTGGAAATTCAGAAAATAAATGGTATTTTAAATATTTAAAGTCAAATATTGAATAAAATTGCCCAGTTTTTCCTCTTTTTTTTCCGTTAAATTAAATAACACTTGAAGTATCAGACCAAACAAAAGTCCTCATGAGGCTGCATATTTCTGCTGTTGAGCTTCTGGAACAGTTTACATTGAGAGTCTGCATTATTCCTGGAGTTAAGGACTTCGTCAGCTCACTGGGTTTTCACACAGAGCCGGTCTCTTCTGAGTGGGTGAAGGGAATCTTTCTGTCCTCTTTACACTCTCACATGCTCATCTTTACTCCATCACATCCTCAGATCAGATGTGAACTGTAACTTCTGTTCTCTTAGGGCTCATTACATGGTTAAAGAAGCAACTATCACCATATGTCCACTGAACGCTCCAGGCTCTCTCACACACACACACACACACACACACACAGGTCGTTGTTGTGGAGGTGTTCAGCTGATGTGTTTTCCCACTGTCAGTCCGTCAGTAGCAGAGCCCAGTGTGAGTCCCGGAGAGCCAGGCGTCAAGATGGAGGGGCCGGTGAAGAGAAAAACCCTGATGAAGGAGGGCAAGAAGCCTACGGTAAAAACACATCACACTGGGATGATACTTCAAAACACTAATAATAATATGTTTCCACTGTAAAAAATAATCCTGTTGAAAAAACGGTAAACTACTGGCAGCTGTGATTGCCAGCATCATACCGTAAAAATACGGTATGTTACTGTTTTTGAAATTAACAGCTAAATACCGTTTTGTCAGCTACAGTATAAAACTGTCATTTAAAAGCATATAGCTGTTTAAACATTAACAGTAACATGCTGTATTTTTACGGTATAATGCTGGCAACCACAGCTGCCAGTAGCTTACCTTTTTTTTTTTTACAGTGTAGCGCCTCTCCAAAGCTCAAGTATGCTTTACAATAACAGCAAAGAACAGTCAGTTCATATGGACAATAGACATTTGCCCAGTCCAAGACATGAGCGATTGCAGTTGCATATTATATCGCATTCCAGTGGAATACAAACTGACTCTAGAACAGAAACAACACTATTTACAGACAGCTTAGAAGGTGGGCAGTTGAAGCAAAGGTCTGATGCAAAAGACTAATGGTACATACGGATACATTATGACTGTAATACAGAGTTCTGGAAAATGTTTAAGAAAAGCATGTCTCTGTGACTTTTTGTGTTCAATAATGAGCGAGTACCTCATAAAACCATCTTCCAAACTCTAATCCCTAATCCACTAAGCCTCATATGATTATATATATTTTACGGATTTCCTGACTGCATACTTTCATCATTTGTCCATGCATGTTTACATCGTAAACATAAATAATGGAAAGAAAGGCTGGAAGCCACAAAACTTACCTCGAAACAAAAATAGTGTTTGCAAGCAAAAAGGAAAAGCAACAGTACACATAATAAAACATCAATATTGCATATTTTATATACATATTTTGCATAGCAGCACATTTGCTGTGCATTGACTAGTTTCACTAAACACTGGTTATGTTGGTAACAATCCCAATCTCTAAATCAGCTTTGGTCTATTTGCCTTTAAATAGCCGTGCCAAGTTATAGTTTCCACTGTTGTACCAGATCTGATATTAATCGTTGTCTAATGTCAGCGTTGTCAACTGACTAATTTTCAAACGACTTATTTCAACAAGTCAAAACAACAACAGCTATAAGCTACTCGCCTGCTCATTTTTCAGATAATGTATTTGTTATAATGAGAGTTTTGGTGTCATTAGTGACATTTGGACTGATAAAGTGATCATCTGTAATCATGACTCGCATAATTACACAAACAATATTCCTCCACAAGTAGTCTGTGCTTCTACTGTTAGAGGACCAACACTCACATAGTTCAAATATTTTTTCAGCATTTGCCAATATTTGGTGTATAATGATAATTGTGTATTTGCTTTGAAATGGTGCACACACGAGTAACTGCAGCATGCAGATCACACACTTCTAGGGCATGGACACACACCATAGCTCTCCATATTTGCTGATTTGACAACATACTTTACAAAGAAAAAGGATGCAACCAGGCAAAGTTTGTAGCTTCAACTTTATTTGGTTAAAGGTTGCATGAGGTTTCAGGGCCCAACGTTTAACAAAACAGTCACAATTCCAGCAGGTGTTCTGTGGCTTTGAGCTGAAGAGTTGATCA